TAAGCCAAATGCATTTTTTTGTAATTCCAAAATCTGGAGAAGAAATATCTAAAAAACAGTAATGCATAAGTTGTTTATCTGTATTCTCTACCCATAGTGTCAATAATGTTCAATTCAATTTCTTTTAACAGTTTTTATGCAACATATAAAACAATAATTTGTATATTACAATATGCGCCTCGTAAGCTTTGTAACATACAGCTATATGGCAATGACCCTTTAATCCCTGAAATCAAAATGCAAGTTTGTCATTTTTTAGGCTATAAATTCCCTTTAAGTATTGACTTTCATTGTCTTACTAATGGCGTTGGCAGCGAAATCACAAGGAAAAATTTCTTGTTTATCACTGTGTATTAAAGGGTTATCTTTTTTAAACTCTTAGGGTTGCTAATGATGATGAACTACTTTTAAAAAATCCCGGCAGTTTTGATACAGTCAATTCTTACCACCCTCTTGAATGTTGGGACTTATACCCTGTGTACCTCTTACAAAGGTTTCTGCCTTTTAGAGAGAACAAACTCAGGTGTCCCTCTAGAGAGTTGAATGTATTTTTGGGTATCTAAAGAGAGAGAGAGAGAGAGAGATGCTGTAGTAACATGTACAAGTGTTGTTAAGGACATTTCATCAGAATTCTCACACCATATGATTTGATCTTTACTTCATTCATATAACCTCTTTTGACTCTGGGGGTGTAGAGTTTATTATACAGTCATGTAAATGCAACAAAGTTATGGTGATTGGTTTATTGCAATTACATGTAAAGTTATTTTGCTTAAGCAGCTGTTGTTAATATGTTTTATTTATGAAAAATTTGAAAAAAAAGGCGAGAGGGGCAGAAGCTTCCAGTTTCTCCGTCAAATATTTTTTCGTATTTTTGGAATTTTTAACCTTGGTCACAGGTTAATAACAGAGACATTGTCATTTGACTGAAATGGAAGCTTTTATATAAATAAAAAAGAGTAATAATATGATATAGTGTAGTAAACATTTCCCCAGAAAAGTATAGTAGTAATTTTGTATTTGTTACTTGCTCTGTAAGGTACGCAGTGATTTATAATGTTAATCGTCGTCATCCTTTCATATGTTAGAAGTGAGAACGTTTACTTTCCTCTTCTTTCTATCTGTTCAGTGAAAGTGTAAACGCTAGAGTTTAGAGGCAATCTTAACAAATCCCAGACTGTGTATAACCTCGAAGATTACAAATGTTGCATTTCAATTCAGTTAAAACTATGCGTTACATAACTTGTACTGCATTATAGACGTAACTTGTTTAGGATAGGAGTGGATTTGTTTCAATGCAGAATAAATTGTAAAAGCAACGCACAGCTTGTCCCTCTTCTGTCTAACATTTTCTAGTGATTAGTCCAGTTACGTCAATAGGGCACTTCCACATTTCCCATAATGCACCTTATTTTCCCCTCAAAAGTTTGCATAACCTTTGTTTTTCATTACATCCTTCCCAAGAGAAATTGAAAACAATGCTTGTGCATTTTCTTTTTTGGTGGTCGGGGCGGGGAGGGGGGGGGGGG